ATATATATATATATACACAAACACACACATGTTAGCTGGCATCGTTGGTCCGTATTATTAGCTGAGAGAAAGAAAGAGAAAGAGGTAACCTCTCTCTCCCTCTCTCTCTCTCTCCCTCTCTCTCTCTCTCTCTAACTCTTTCTATCTCTCTCTCTCTTGTTGGATAGATATTACACATGCTTTTACAACATTTATACAAAGAGAGAAATGAGGAAAGAAATATATAGGAGAATAAAAAGGGGGAGAAAAAAAAAAAGAAACAAAAGAAATTTTTAATAAAAGAAGAAAGTGTTGTTGCTTCAATGGAACACCTAGAGATCATCGTGCTCTAATTTTTTGGAACATGTAGATTGTAGAACGTGATAAATGGTGGTAGTGGTAGTGGTGGTGGTACTGCTGTTAATACTCTCTTTCTACCTTTCTCTTTCTACCCTTTCTCCCATTCTCCATCTTTTCTATATTTCGTGTTCTTTCTCTTTTATAATCGTAATTTCTTCTTTAAAGTGATAATATACACTTTGTGTGTGTCGTGTTCGTCATCGTCATCGTCGTCAACGATGATGCCGAGCAACGAAACGCGAAATAACCGTCGTATATAAATCCACGTTTAAATTTAGTTTAACACACGCGTCAGAATCTTCCTCGAAATCGCGTATAGACACGAACACGTATACATACAAACTCTGAAAGAGAGAGAGAGAGAGAGAGAGAAGGAAGAAACTATACGTGTTTCTTTTCCTATTTATCTAAAATTTTTACGAATAACGGACGAGTACACGAAAAAAGTGTGCACGTTTCTTTTTTTCTCTCTGAAAACTAATTGAAAACACTTGACACACGTGAAAACTTTGATTTTGTAATTTTGTTTCTTTTCAACAGTAAGACAAGAAAATTGTCTAGACACCTGTCAGACCAATTTTTCTTCAATTCTTTCCATCACTCTATTCGAACTCTTTAAATACTCGTTAAAATGATACAACAAGTCAACAATTTTATACCGTTAACTAACTTATCTTCGTAAAGATTATGTCCGTGTTTTAACTCTTTGGGGGATAAAGGTGAGATTAAAAGTGTCCCACTACTCCTCACCTTTTTGATGCACCGTAATACATGGTGGGACTTTTTTCTTTTTTAAATCCCACTTCGAAATATTGCAATAGCTGCTGCATGCGTACAACAGGGTTTATATTTACGTATAACAATTGTTAATATCTACAACAAATGTTACAAATGTAATTAATTTATTATTCTTACTGTTTTTTTATACATTATATGATATCATTAAAAAAAAATATACAAATATTTGTATGAATTAAATTTCAATCAAATTTTTATGCAACACATTAGAATTATTTTATTATTTGAAATTCTGCATATCGCAAAGATGATTAAAAGAAAGATTAAAAAGTTTC